AGCAGGACTAGTCATACCTATGTACCCCAGGTATTTCAAAGAGCAATAATTGCAGATGTAACTTGCACTGTGCCTTCCTTTTGTTTTATAGGTGTACTGACACCCCGCAGTGTAGGGCTTCTCCAAGACATGGAAGAACTGTACCTAGTTTAAAATGTAATTAGCTGCCCATTATAGTTTAAGGAATTTTTATGCACTGTTGAAAAAATGACTTGTTACAATCTGCAGCTTGTGAGTCTGAATGCTAACAGGAACATTTCTTTTAAAAGAGGGATTTTTTGTGGCATGTCTATATACTTGTCTCTGCTTGCAAAGTATGTAGCCAAGGTTTTCTTTGAAAATCCTGTTTAAAAAAAAAAAAAGTTTTGAGGAAGAGTACAAATCGGAGCATGTCCTGACCGCTCTCTGTAAACCTGAGTACATCCATCACTTCATGTGGAAGGTGATTGGAAGAATTTTCTCACTTTGAAAGGTCTCTCTCTTGAATCTCGGTCGTTATATTAAAAGCAAGGAACGTTTGAATGTGCTTGGTCTTTACGCTTGTGATGATTACTGTAGTAACTCCTCTCTTTTACACTGTTACAGGTTAAATATGACTTTCTATATGAAAAAGTATATGTTTGCTGCTTGGAAGAATGGGCTAGTCCTATTTATCAGAAGATATATACCACCTTCATTCTTGTTATACTCTTCCTCCTTCCACTGATGTTGATGCTTTTCTTGTACACTAAAATTGGTTATGAACTCTGGATAAAGAAACGAGTGGGAGATGCTTCAGTTCTTCAAACCATTCATGGGAATGAAATGTCTAAAATATCCAGGTTTGTAAAGTGAAAAAACAGTTGGAACTTTTACTTTTAAAAAGCAGATTTGTTCTGGCAATTCTTGAGAACCAGTGCAATAAAGTCTCTCTTTCCTTAGCCAGTGGGAGGTCTACGAGCATGGCCCAAATTTTTAAAGCCAGCTGGTTATTTATCACTTAGCTGCCTGATTTAAGGCAACTTAAACGGATTGTTTTCATCAACGTATACAGTAAACACACTTTGGAAGTCAAGCCACTTCAGCAAATCTCATGTTGTACGTTGTGAAATTGTTGCTTTTAAAAGATGTAGGCTGTGAGTTAGAAAATGATTTGGGAAAACGCTGCCATATTATTTCCATATGTTCTATGGAAAGTTCTTTATATGACTCTGAGACTGTGAACACAGCTTTATGAGCCCTTTATAGGTTAAATTGGTACATGGAGGAAAAAACAAACAAACAAACAAACCAGAATTCACTTTAAAACTACTTTGATACAGTTTAACTTGATATGGCTTCCAAAGAGATCTGAGTGTTCTGAGATTTGTTTTACCTTGTGAGACCATCCAGATGGCAACTGTATCTGAAAAAGTTATAAAACCACTAATTATCCGTTGGACAAATAAATACGTTTATTTACATTTATAACAACTTTGCTATTTAGCACTGTTTATAGGCTACCCTTCATATTACCTCACACTTTTCCTTTGATTTGACAAATTGATCTGTTGCCTGACTTACTAGAAACCTCTAACCATTCTGTGCATTGAGGGAAGTATCACCTTAAGTATGGACTGTAAGGAAAATACTAACAAGCAGCTTAAAGACAAATCGTTCCTTAGACAAATGTCTGAGGAAATGCATGCCTAAGGAAGCAGATCGTTATTGGTCAAAACTGAAGGAGGATGTGATCTCGCATCAGTTAGGGTTACAGTCATCTAAACTTTGTGTTGGTCCCCAGCTTAGTGAATGTTTCATGTAATGGGAAGAAAGTCCTGTCGTTGCTCCAAGGGGACTGTTACTTCTTTAGCTCAAGTGAGAGAGGTCCATCCCAAGATCTGTAAACCTAGTTATATTGATGATAAATTTATCATTGTTCCAGAATTAATACATATGTCGAGTTTGTCAAATATTTTAGTGGAGGCAGGGAGTGCATCTCTTGCTCCTTATTCCAGCACTTCACCTATCAACAAAAACTGGTTGGGGGTATAGTTTCACCTGCTCTCTGTCAAATTCTCTGTGTAATGAGGTGCTGCAGGTACAGTCAGTGTCCCTTCCTCGAACTGGGAGCACTTTTTTTTTTTTTTTTGGAGCTGTAATGGAATTTCAAGTGTTTTTCCCCAACTGTTACTATAGGAATTGAATTTACTTGCATAGAATGAAAATGCCTTGCAAGGCATGCTAATGTCATTGTTTGCTGCAGCTACCAAATGCTTCATTTTCCTTGAATGAGAGAAATTAAAAGGTGTTGATTTATGTACTACTTTTTTTTTTTTTCCCCAGGGGGAATTATATACTTCTGAGCATTCTCTCTCAGGGGGTTGTTTGTGTCTGCATCCATTACAACATACTTACAGATTTAACTTAATGAAAGTTATGTTAACTTATGTAACTTAATGATTCAGTATAAAATGTCTTGATGCAATTTCAGGAAGAAGAAGCGAGCAATTGTTATGATGGTGACAGTGGTGTTTCTCTTTGCAGTCTGCTGGGCCCCTTTCCATGTGATTCATATGATGATAGAATACAGTGAGTATCTGCCATGTGTCATGCAATAAAGTCTTTTTTAGGTTTTTTTGCAATAATGGAACCACAGATTGTGAAATGCTAGTGCTGCTGCAGCATTCAGCTATAATGTACCTTCTGCTAGCAAAGGTTAACGTTGTGCTTATAAATCCTGGATCACTGTCTTGTAATAGAGATACATAATCAACAGCAGATGAATTACTCTGAAGTCTATGAGTGACAGACAGATCTACAGTGCTCACAGAAAACGTAAGTACATTTCAAAAACCTCTTATTAGCTGTAGTGTTTGAGAGCGTAATATATCTGAGAAATCCTTGTATCAGCCCCGTCTTCTCTTCCCTGCTGTAGCACTAAAGATCTGTGTCTTGCTATAAACTGTGCTAGACTTTGTGGAGGGGGTGGGGAGAGGGCACTGTGTCTCCCTCCTCCTGTGTAGGTGCAGTGATAGCAGGTGGGACTGTGCAGTTTGCCGTGTGTAGGAACACTGAATTATTCAGTACCAGTTGTGCTCTACTTGCCAAACGCAACAGTTAATCTCTTTTCTCTCTGTTGCGGAAAAGGGCATAGCAGATAAGTCAGTAGTGCTACAGCCAGTCAGCTGAAGCAAGTGGTGTTTGTGCCTGGGCAGAGCCAGAAATGCTTAAGCTGTAACTTTCAAAAATTATCTGGATTGCCCCCTATTGAGATTGCCCTGAACTGTTCTGTGTAACACTTCACTCTCTTTCCACTGTTAATTTCAGGGATTGTTTCCACTGCTACAAGGCCTTGTTTAACTTGCCATATAAACCCTTGTGCAGTGTCTTCCAAAGCTGCTTAGCCAAGTATTTGAATTCAAGAAATTCAGAGAATTCTGTGATATCAAGTAATTAAAATGTGAGCTATCACCAGGAAGATGCATTTTTACTCTATGAACTCGTCTGTATCAGCACAAAGAAAGAAGCTGCATATGGTCAGTGAAAAGACGGGGATTAGTGTTATCGTGGTAGAGTACTTGAAAATTTCTCATGAATGTGAGACGCAGAGTCAGAGCCTACACTCAGCAGACTGGAAGCTTTCTGTCACTTGGCCATTGGACAAGTTGTTTATTTGTTCATTTGTTTTTTTGCTCACGAGTTGTGTCCTTCAGACTACACTGTTCTTCCCTACATATATACAAAAGCAGGGCTATGTGGTAGGTCTTGATCTTTGCTGGCTAGTGAAATCCTATTGCTAAAATTACCAAGAAAGCACCTTGCTGGAGGTTACTAGACAAAAGCTTCTAATGCCAGATTGGGTGTAAATGGGCTTAGTAATGGGTATTTATACCATTCTATACCTACAGCATATTTCCTTTTTCATTTCCAGGTGACTTTGAAAAGGAGTATGATGATGTGACAGTCAAAATGATCTTTGCTATTGTCCAAATTATAGGATTTTTCAATTCTATTTGCAACCCTATTGTGTATGCTTTTATGAATGAAAACTTCAAGAAAAATTTTCTGTCTGCCATCTGCTTCTGCGTTGTCAAAGAAAACACATCACCAGCCAGGCAACTCGGGAACTTGGGGATTACTATGAGGCAGCAAAAGGCAAGTGCTTCTCTAAGAGATCCCACTGACTCAGATGAGGCCAGGAGGGAGGCATTCAGCGACGGCAACATAGAAGTCAAGTTCTGTGATCAGCCAGCTTCAAAAAGGAATTTGAAAAGGCACCTTACCTTATTCAGCTCTGACCTTACTGTGCATTCTGCGTTAAGAAGTGGACAGTAACATCACAAAGATTTTTAGAATGGAAAAAGCACTCCTTGTATTTGATAACTTTAAACAAACCATTTTAAATATTTTTTTCTACATTGTGTGCAAGGAGGGGAAAAATATTCTGTGGATTATGATAATGTCTGAATAATGGTTGAGAAACTAATTACTTTATAGATGAGGAATAAAAGTTTGGAAAACAGTATTACTGCATGATTTCCAGAAAAATATTTTTCTTCCTGAGGTAACATAGGACTTTTTTGCCCCCTGCTCTAGGTCAACCAAACAACTGCCGCTTGCTTTGTTTACTTTTTGTAAACCATGTTGAACCATACACAGTTGAAAGTAGATACACAGTTGCCAGAAGATATAAACTATGGAAAATATGCATGCTTCCTTTGGACAGCTTGGGAATCTCACCTGGGTCTGACATTGTGAGATCTACTATCTGCACGCCGAGGACAGAGAAACTTCAGATCTGAGTTTAAGAAAAATACAAACTGAGATGCAGTTCTATTTTGCAAAGTATATGAAGGAGCTAGCCAGAATTTGACTTTGAAGAGATGAAGATGTTTACATTGCATGTTTGCTCAGATTTTCTAAGCAGAAAGCATATTTGAAATTAATGTGTGCATAATTAATGTGCTATTTTTACAGGTTAATTCTCTGGGTACAAATACAAATGCAAGTGTTCT